AAAATGAGGAAAACAAGCTTTCACTGTTTGGTGCTTCACCTCCGCAGCACAAGGATAACGCCTATTGGTAAGCTACATCGTATGGAGAAATGAGGCGCTTACGCTGACATTATTTAATAAAATTTTAAAATATAGGTTACATTACTTTATAGATACCATTAGTTACCCTTGCAACAATAGAGCGCTTACACGATTTTCATCCAAACAAGACATAAAATTGATGCTTACGTCTTTAAACCTATCTATAAAACGTTTCGAGTGCATCCTAAAGTTTGTGGAAGCCCTAGCGATTGAAAAGTTTAAACCAACTTTATGCGTTTGAAAACAATTCGTCATCACATTAAACCTTCCTTGGTAAACTCTGGTTTGATACCAGGCTAGATGTACTATTACTTCCCTTCCTTGGTTCAGTGGTCTTCATTGTTATTTTGACTTCCAATATGTTCTTTTAGCTTGACCTGAGTCTATTTTCCCATCCCTAAACTCTATTAATTTTATAGACATATATATATATATAAATTCCTATGACAAGTCCGTGTGTGATCAAATTGTTTGAAATGTGTTGCGCAAATACATTACACCATGCAGACAAATTTCGTCTTCTTATTGGTTTGTATAGAAGAAATTAGTTGCTTTACCATTTTCAAACAACTGCGTCATCCACGTATTCACACACTTTGAGCACATTAATATCAAGAAATGATAAAGTAATACGTTTCACGTAAAGAGTTGGACTATTTGATATCTGCTACAATCAACAGAGTAATATTACACAATGATTTCGCCTGCAGACATGTGAGTCAAATCTGTTATAGTTCGTGTAATTTACCATTAAAGTAGGTAGATGATGTTTGAAGTTTGCTTATTCTACTTCACCAATAATGATGATGATGATAAATCAAATATAAACATGTAAATCAGTAAACCCTCGAATTTTAAAACTTACTTCTGGCGGAGGCTCTATATCTCCTACCCATGATGCATCAGATCCTTTAGTATTATTTGCAACTAATTTGTTATAAAAAACTGGAAGAGTGAGTTCAGGCATATCAGGTGCATAAAACACAGACATCTCTTTCAAGGACTGATTAGCATTTTTCTTTTCTTCATTATCATTTGAAGTATCACTGTTAGCGGAAGACGAAACAATTTGACAATTCTCATTTACACTATCGTTTTGACCGTGTTCATTATCCACTGAATCCAAATTATTATTGGTAGTTATCTCAACTGGAACTTCAGGGGAATCCACCTCTTTATTCTCTATCACTACTTCTTCAGAACACTCAGTCAGCATCGTAGTAGTTAAATCAATTGTGGCAGTGATAGGTTTATTCGGTCTTTGAGGACGTATACAGAATGATTCAGAAAGAACCACAAGATAAAATGGGGCACGGACAGGACCAAATGTTTCATAAATCTATAGCATATGCAGATGAAAATTGCAAATAAATTTGTCTATTAATACCACCATTTATATGACTATGTTGTAACTAAAGGTAAATTGAAAATGCTTTAACGACTGCAGTAGGATCTTTAGCAAATTACCAAAATTGACCTAATAAACTATTTATATATCTTTACTGATGTGTGGTTGGAGGTTATAACCGGGAGGCATCCAACCCAAATGTCGTGCTTTTTGGCATTCGTCATCAAGGCGTATCGGCGACCTCAAAGGAACTGACGCCCACCCCTCTCAGAGATTCGAACTCGCGTCGCCCAGAGCTGAAGTCAGAGATACTATCACTGAGCTATTCAGACACACATTTGTCCTCCCATAAGACTGTGATTAATGCATTGACTGGGCACTAGGGTGTAACTACGTTAATGTTTAAATACTATGAGCGAATCATGTGCCAAAATTCATGATCCTATACAAAATATTCATCTTAATTATTTACTGGCATCATAGCAAATGTGAGTAGTGACAAAAATCTAATTTGGCAACGCCGGGAGAATTATGAAATACTTGGCACCTTACTTATTATGAAAGTGAGTAATGTATATTAAGAAGTAAACACTTAGGACTTTAAAATTTGTCAATTATTAGCTAATTTAGACGAATTATCAAGGGAAATAAAGCCTCGATTAAATAGCTTCTTTAAGTCTGCAGAGGTTTTGGAACCACCGTAACATACTGTTTATGCTTTCACTCTTATATTTACCTGTCTGGAAGTTTCTCCTACATATACAGCGTCACAATCCCTACAATTGATCTGGTACACACAATTCTGTTGCTTGTCTTCTTCTATTTTATCCTTAACCTTCACCAGTGATAAGTGTAAAGTGTCCGTTGCACGGAAATACTCTCCTATGTCATGATTGTTAGGGATTCGATCTATCTCATCCGATGTTTCTTTGCGACAAGGAATCACCAATGTACTAACCCAATTCTTAGCAATAGGTTTCGATCCATACTTATCTTCACATTTTAAATATCTTTTTATGAAGGCTTTGGGATAATTATTTGATCTTGAATCAAGTTTTTAAAGCAAGAGATGTCCTTTTTACATATATATACTTCTGTTATGTTAATTTCGATTAATTCCCCTGAAGAAGTTCGGATCAGTTTGCCGAACGAAACGTTGTAATTACTCATTCTAATTTCGGTGAGATTTTACAAATATAATTTTTATGAATGTCTGTTTACTCCTGTAACATTAGTAATAAGGCCAATACTAATGTATTACCTCAGGAGCTACATCTGTTATGTTATGTGAATAATTCTGTTCCTGACAGCGAGCTAACAAACACATCAGTGTGTTAATCATGCATTATCAGAATATGGCCCAGTACTATCACACAGCGGGAAAACTTGCTATATTCCTTAAATTCATAATGGTTAGGAAGCAATTAGAAGAGACGAACAAACATAAACAATGTAGCCAAATGTCCTAGAATTACTCAATAAACGGGGAAATACAATACAATAAGTAAAATGAAGACATCTGCATCACTGTGGTAAATTTGAAACTACATCACTTTTCATTATAATAAAGGTTTTTGTATTTCCCAATGAATGAAAAACAAAACGATATTATTTTTACTGACGTTTCGCTACTTAATGCTAATAGCTTTATCAAAGTATTATTAAATAATTTTCATTCATTGGGAAATACAAAAACCTTTATTATAATGAATAACATATACCCAATGTCCAAATTTTTTCAAACCGTTAAAAGTGAACTTGGTTTGGACATACATAACTATATCACTTCTCATTATAAATTATTTAAAATAATCTCAGCGAGTTTAAGAAAAAATCGAAACAAGATTTTTCTGGACGTTGGGATTATTTTAAATAATTTATAATGATTCAATCTGACTTGGCTCTCAAATTATTCCAGGAAATTTGTAACATCTACGGTCTAGAAACTTATCTATCTACTTTTCACCTCAGTTCAAAGGTCAACAGCTTCACTGTACAAATCAGCTTTAGATTAACTCCAACTCCGTTTTACTTTCGTTAACACCACATTCGCGTAGACAGCCAACAGGTACGTGCAACACATAAGCCAGCCATATCAGACACGATATGTCTATTGGTTTTACGATTCGTTTGTCTCTGAAACTTGAATCTAACAGTTGTAGGTAAGATGTCAAAACCAATAAGCCAGGTTCAAACTAAGAATTCCCTCATAAATAAATAAGGCACATCCATCCTATTTTCGAAGTATCTGGCTAAGTACCTCAAAACATTGATTCTTAGAACTCCGAAGCTCAGAGCAATGCAATATACTTCTAATCAAAGAGACTAAACCATTCGCTGAAAATTTTATGTGCTTTTGTTATGTTCTGTATTGATCACTATTCTTTTCTATGATAATCTCACATCATTATTCTTTTAAGGAGATAACATCTTGGCATTTACAACACAAGTCCCAGCCATCACAACTGATGAAGACTCAATTTTATCGATCAACTTGCCCTTCTTACATAAAACTCTGCATCTAATTTTAGCACCACTTACTATGCTACCCCACCCAACATGCACAATTAAATGAAGATTGTACTTTACAACTAAAACTTTGCAACACGGTGAATGTCAGAAATGGGTTTGCATTCATCCCAAGATTTCCCCAGCAACCAGCATATTAAGATCAATCAAGCAACTAAATAAGTGAGGTGGTTAGCATTCTTAAACATTTCACAACCTACTCGTAACTAGGAGTCACTGAAGATCAATCCCATGAACCAGCTATTCTCGGATATCAATTCTATTTCCAAATCGTCGATTCACGTTAAAAACACTACCGATGGCGGGCGAATGTACTACAGTATCCAGCTAGCTGATTCACTCGGCGAAGTGTCTTCTAAATACTCAAGTACAGTTTCAAATGATGACACACTTTAGCACGAAGTTAGCAATAATAAAATAAAAAGTTAGAAGAAAATTCAATTTATTTTCATAAAATACTTTGAATTATTTGAATATAGTTAAGTCGAATACTTAAAACTGAAGTACATGTAAACTGAACAGAGATCGAACATTCGAGTCAGTGACTGGAAATCGCCTTATACTGGGACAGTTAACCAAGTTGCTTGCGTAATTACAAAAAAGTACTACTTATCTGCGGATAACGTTAGTCTTTAGTAGAGTACACTCACCTCTCCCAAATGCCTTCCATCGTCCAGAAAAAGTGCAGATCCCTCATCCAATATAACTGCTGAACTGACAGAGCGAACTACAACTAAAAAACGTAAACAAACGAGGGTGCAATAGCGAGAAATTTATCGGCGAAGAATTTTCAGAAATGCATTTTTGCATTTGCGAATCGTGTTTAAATACTGTTGTATGTGAAACACCAGTTAACATTCTTCAAACGTGATCCAAAGAAACAACACCTCGCTTAGAATCCAGATCTTGTAATCAGAATTTCAAGATCAGGTCGGAAACAACTGTTTTTGGTTCGTACGCCAAACACTAAGCTCCACATAATTAACTGTATTTTTTTATTCAAATGATAACCAATACCTGATGCAAGCAAAAACTGTCTTACCACAATCATCGAAAACTTGAGAAACCTTTCCAAGTAATGAAGTCTTCACATCTGCTGTCTAAGGAATTCCATATATACATATTATACGGAGGCGAAAATTTACCAAATCTGCTACTGACTTCAAAATGTAATCAGATGGAACTGAAAAGACTGGGGGTTTGGGCTGAAGTGCTATAGTTAAGTGGAACAATTAGCCTACTTTCCGAATTACAGGTCTTTCGATTTTTTCAGGTTCACTGTCAGAAGAAGTTTCAGATGAAGATGTTTCATGAATTGTGCAAGGTGACTTTTGCCTATTGTTCGTGTCCTCCAAACCATTTACAGGCAAGGTAGATTCCTGAAGTATAAAACAGTAAGAATTGTTTATTGTAATTTCTTTTCAAATAATAAATCGCATGAAATGGCTAACAACCAACCATCATAATCAAAAATATAACGTAGATAATTATAATCAGCATTTACACAAAACAATTGGATGCAGTTTAGCTGAATCGTGTACGTATGTATTTGGGTGACATATTTCGGACAGTATGATCACACATGGACTTGTCATAGAAATGTACGTGAAAACAATGAAGCCTTAAGAGTTGGGAGAATAGATACAGATCAAGACGAAAGTCTATAATGAAGGTCAAAATAATAATGATCATTAAACCAAAGAAGGGAAGTAATAGTGTGGTGAGAGCTGGCTGCTAGCCAAAGTTAGTAGACAGTAATTGACGTCAATATTTATGTCTCAAATATTAGTCATGTGGAAACAAGGTCAAAGATGGACAGAAGACTTTGCGTAGGCGGATACAGTTAGCATATGGATGACCTGACACAGCCACAAAGAGATGCAAGATTAACTTTCCGTGAGAAACAACCAATCAAAAGACTGTATTTTCCACTAACAATAATCTACAATAATGTACATTAAAATCTATAAATGTATTGATTTTTATTAATAAACCATCTGTTGCCTGGCCCTTGTCTTCTGTTGTTACAATAGTACATCTAGCCTGGTATCAAAACAAAGTTTACCAAGGAAAGTTTAATGTGATGACGAATTGTTTTCAAACGCATAAAGTTGGTTTAAACTTTCCAATCGCTAGGGCTTCCACAAACTTTAGGATACGCCCCAAACACGTTTTATAGATAGGTTTAGTAGATGTGTCAATATCAACTTTATGCCCCGTATCTGTAATGTTTCGCAACGGGTCGTCTGTCTCCACTATTAAGGGGTATAGAGGATTTGATTGGCTTCTGAAACTAACAAGGGATATATTGTGAAGCCCCTACCTACAGAGATGGATAAGTCCTCCCAATATATGTGTGACAACAAGTATAAACAAACTAGCAGATGCAGTATAGTTAATATGTTTAAATTCACAAGTCTGTTACAGTGTAGAATCCCGATAACATTTTAAGACGTTGAACAGTGAAGTACCTGACAATCACTAGCTGATAACAGACAGGATACAAAGCTCTCAGCTTTTCATTGTAAAGATAATTGTCACAGATATTAAGCGAAAAACATAGAGACCGTTTTTAGCCTGCTTCGCTTTTTCCGACACGAAGACGATTAATATTACTCAACTTTATAAGCAGCTTACAAGGAAACCAATAGGCAGATAAAAAGCCAGATCCACATTAGACCACAGATCAAACACCAAGTTAAAATGATAGATCGAAATATCTATCACAAAGTACAAAATAAAATCACAACTACGTGAGTGAGTCAGTTATACATTGAAGATTCGGTTAGAAAAATGGTGTCCTGAAATAAAATGATGTGTCAAATGGCTAGAAGGCATGCTACGTACGCTAAACTATAACCTTTTTGATGAGTAAATTCAAACCAAGTAAGATGACGTTGGAAACACACTGATGACAGTCAGACCAAGATATAATACTAATTTAGGTCATGCACAAAAATGTAAGTTGTTTTTCAAGCTTTTTAGCAATAGTAAGAGTCACTGCAGACACCAACATCCAAAAAGCAACTATAATCGCACAGATAGTCAGTTAAAACACTTTACCCGTATCTGCGTTTTCATGTACTAAGCCAGGAGCCACACTTTTGTAAGGAGGCTGAAGATACTACCCAGTTGCCCAAGCTGAAGTTAATGTAGTGGGACTCATACCCGGATGAGACATCTCCAGTCACACAGAACCTTAACTTTTACTACTCACACCTACTTGTAACATAACTCTTTCTGATCGCTTCCTGTTATCGTTCTGTTTTGTGGTGTGGTAACCCAAACTGAGGAACTTTGGCGGAGAGCTGTAGATTGATCATTCTTTCTGACATGATTGTATTACGAAGAAGCTGTGGATTATTGACCTAGACTTCAAAGTAGGAAAAAAATGACTAATCTTTTTGAAGACATGCTAAAACTGACCGGCTTACAATAATAGATAGTACAAATGTTATTTACTAACCACTTCCATGTTAATACCCTTCAAAAGTTACCAAGATGTTATTGCTACAAAAGTGTTAGGAATTTATTCGATATACATGTTGTTTTCGACTTTTTCTATTGCTCAAAACTGGATTTTGAGTAGACGGACGAGAGACAGGCTCCAACTAGCCAAATATTCATTTCATAAAGTACTTTGCTTGGAAATGACATCGCTACATTACTGTCTTAAGAAATACCTTATAGCTAGAATTTTAAATATCCAAAATTTACTAAAAAGATAACAATAGATCATAGTGTTTTGAGATCCGTCTACATTTCCGATACTGTTCTTAAACCTACCTCTAAATTCTATTCCTTCAAAAGCACCAGTTATCCTGTTAAGTTTAACTGTGTTCGCCACATGAACTTTGAAAAAGGAGTGGATTTTACACGCTCTTGTTTAATTTTGGCTTTTGTTGTTATACGCTCCAAAATTCTATAGATTAACTTTAAATCAGTTTATTTTGATAGAAGTTTACGTTTCAGTTTTGAGACTATTTCATTATAGGAAGTTGTGTTCTTATAACACCATAGTTATATTTATCCATTTTTCTGCACTCATTGGTTTTTTTATCACTGGTTTAGAAAGGTCATATATATATAAAGTCATACTTGAATCTGAATCACTCTGAAAAGCATACCTATCAAAAGGAACCGCTGTGGAAGAACTATGTGCCAATTTCCAATTGAAGAAGGAATGAAGTGTGATAATTTCAAGAGATGGTTTCATAGCATGTGCACAAACCTAACTCCTGCAACATACAACCGCTGCTGCAAACCTCTGGCGAACTGCCTGTTCAATGATTGCTGTAGTACGACTAAGTTTCGTATAACGGAAGCCATTGCCACTCTCAGTGAGGCTCTAAAGCTCATGGACTGCAAGGGTCTTCTACCACAGGGGAAGAGCAACTACTGTTCAGACACCGATGACGTCACTAGCGTCATCGACAAAAAATACACGTTCCTGATGAGTCTGTCAGGAGCACCCAACATATTTCAGACACCCCTACGATACCGGGTAAGTCCTCCAGTGACAGTAATAGAAAGACTGGCACGAAGAGGAGGAGTACCAGGGGTCGAAAATCCGCAGCTCAAGTCACCCACGGACCTGTAGACCAAACCTCGTCCACACCGGTGGATAGCAGGCAGACACAATCGACTACGGTTAGCGAGGAGGACGCCAATGAATGGCGTTATGTAGTCGCCGGCAAAAGGACACCATAATGGCCACACCGTCCACGAAAGATGGAAAGAAACTTACGCCGTAGAGCAAGAAAGCCATGGCAAGCAAGCCTGACCTCTCTAACAGGTCGCTCATTCTACACGAAGTGGAAGAATCACCGGCTTCCGATCCCAAGATCAGGTTCGAACACGACCTTGACTTAGTCAAACGCCTTTTAGATAAGCTGATGCCAAAAACAGTATCAAGCATAACCATACATAGCTTATATAGAATCGACCAAAAGCCTGACTCGATAGTATATCAGTCGGTACGCCTTCTCAAAGTCGTACTAAACTCAAAGGAAGAGAGGGATGCGATTCTAAGCAACTCGTAAACTCTCAAAGGATCAGGCATATACGTCAGGGCCGACTTATGCCTAGCAGACCGTGTCAAAAGACAGTCTGCAGCCCTAGAATTAAGCGAACGAAGCCGAAAAAAACCTCAAGGTTAAGGGTTTCCGGGTTTTCAAAGTCTGATGATCCCGAAACCTCTGTGGGTAATCCGCGGAAGCACCAAACTGAATAGACAGTTTGCTACACAAACGCCCGCGGTCTCTTGAACAAACGGACTGAACTGTGTAATATGATAGACTCCGAAAGTAATTATTATCATAGAAACATCGCTCACACCCGATGTCGCTGATAACGAGGTTAACCTTCCAAACTTCGAAGTGCATAGGGTGGACCGACTAAGCCGCAAAGGAGGTGGCGCAGTCATCTACTTCAAGAAATGCTTAACCGTGCGTAGCATCGAAGCTCTCGCTCTCGTACGAACTTCTACGCTGCAGACTTAAATGTATATGCCAAGATATTAACCTCATTGAGGTATACCGCAGTCCTGGCTGTAGTGCAGAGAAACTAGGCTTCTGGACATCGAAATGTCAAAGTCTTGTAGTCAGCGACTTCAACGCCCCAACAGTTGACTGGACAAGTCTTACAACACCATCTTCAGACAACTCCTTTGATCATAAACTGCAGGAATCTAGCATTTCGCTAGCCCTAGTCCAACATGTCATTAAGCCCACGCGCTACAACTCACAGTACTCTTCATCAACTATGGACTTAGTGTTCTCCCATGTTGAGGATGTGGATCTCATACATCTTCCTCCTTTAGGAAGAAGTGATCACGCTGTGCTCACTTTCAAGTTTACAGTAACAGCATAATGGACCAAAACCCCAGCTCGACCAAACGTTTGGAAAGCTGATATAAATGCAATCGTCTCAGCAGCCAACTCAGTGAACTGGTAAATCAACCCAGAGTCAAAAGTAGAAGCCGCATGGGACCAACTTAAACAACTTTACGCCCAGGTAACTGAACCTTTTATCCCTTGGTCTGTCCCAAAGGGTCGGAAACATTGCCCCCTTGGATAAACCGAGAGATTCGTAAGTTACTCAAACACAAACACAAATGTTGGAACCTGTTTGCCTAACTTGAGACTCCTAAGACCAGGAAATTATATAACACTGCTAGGAATAAAGCTATTGCAGAAATCCGCCAATCAAGAATGAAGTGCGAAGCACGTCTGACTCAAAATGCAAAGGCACAACCTAAGAAAATTTTCTCGTACATGAACTTCAGGAATAAAACATACAATGGTGTCCCAAACCTGACTATTGACAATGACACAATCGAAGAAGATCAAGAAAAGGCAGAAGCAATGGTAGACTACTTCTCCCAAGTCTTTACATAGGAGTCGTTACTCCCCATAGGATCAGCTCTGACTGCATCAGAGAAACACGGGATAGATTCCGTTCACGTGCTCAACTACTTAATGAAACTAGATGCAGACAAATCAATGGGTCCTGATAATCTTTATCGAAGGCTTCATCATCAAGGGACTATCAGCTCACATAGCTGGCCCATTGATTACGATCTTCCAGCTATCTCTCCTAAATGGTGTTAACGCATAACTGGAAAGGCGCCATAGTCACCCTCATCCACAAATTAGGAACAAGGCAAAGCCCTTCAAATTACGATGTCAACACCGCTTTCAGGGTTATATACCGAATTCCGAAGTCGTTATCACGTACAGTTCGCTTACATCTCCTACACACAGCTGAAGCTGTTGCAATAAGATCGACTAAACCGGAACTTTGTATCCAAAAAGAACACGTCCAGACGCTGTTCCTACTGTGGCCAAACTTGGATTGATGATTCTTCTCACTAAGAGTGCTCCTTGTCCTTAACCCTCTTAGTTTTTTTCCTTTGCTTATCATTACAAATATTATTTTTATTCGTCATAATTTATGCCCTTCATGCAACCATTCTCTCAATACTAACGAATTTTTCATTTATACTATCCGGACTTATTACTAGTGATATTATCTCTTTTCTCAATGTATGCCTCCACCTGTTTCATTTCACATATTCGTTATTTTATTATGAACCTCTCATTGCACTCTCACTATCTCCTGTTTAACATAGACCACTTTGTCTAGCCATTCACCTGACACCTTTTATAACCTTGAACTGACTTGTCAATTTTCCTACCCCACGCTCTACAAATCTATTATGATTAATCGCCACTATCGTCTCCCGTTTTACAATATTTTGTAATCGATTTCAGCCTAGCACGTTTGTCACACAAATACGACTATTTATTTTGACACCCCATAACTAATCTGTTAATCTACGTTAAAATGTATCCACCGCATAACTCGCCCTTATTGTACCAACAACAAATATTATATTTTATAATTGTAAGAACCTGAAGAGAAATTATTGAAAAGAATATTCTTCGTTCAGATTGACTTTTAAATCTCATGAATATAATATGCTTAGTGAAGTGTTATGTTATTAAGTGGGATATTTGGTAATTTTCAGGCTAGGTTTGGGAAAGAATAAGTTAAGGTTTAGCCTTAAGACAGGTTAGGGCTGGCTTACCCAAATAAGAGTGACATTAGGGTATACTTTCAAGTTAGGGTAAGGTTAAGGAAAGATTAGGGTTATTGTTAGGATTAGAACTAGATAATTACATGAATAGAATGTAGTTATATTACTCTATTGATACTCCAATTCAAAACCAAGGTGTTTTGTCAGAATACTGAGAAGGATACCCTGTGTAACAGTTTGATGCCATCTTATGAATAATTCTCATGAATATACGTATTTTATACGCAAAAATCGCCTTTATCATGCGGTTGTTGCACTTAAGGTCAATTTTCCGTTTGTACTTACTGGTGCTTAAAGTTTCGAACTTCGCCCCTTGTGAAATGATGGCCCTCAATTACATCCGAGCCGAATAATAAATCTTGAGAAAGGCTTGTGTATTCGACTTAATGAGATTTTGGGAGGATGTGACAGAATACCATCAAATTCCCTAAAAATCGAACAAGTGAATGACAGCGTTATGAGCAACAAAATACTACTGGTCAAACCAACACTTACACTCTCTGTCTCCATGTGCAAGTGTTCCACTTATTTCATGAAGGCGCTGAGCACATGTCCAATATACAGTTTGGTTACTACGACCTAGTGTAGATCAAATTAATTTGTTTGTGCTTGCTTCTTGTTTGAAAAGTAAAGGCTTTTGATTTTCGGTAAGATTCTGCCTAGTGCAGCCCTCCACCCGACTGGCTAAACTAAAGCTGACTCCAAGGGGAGTAGTACAAAGATAGGCCATATGAGGTTTGCAGTATGCGATGTATTAAGACCATTTCGCTGCTGTGATAAAAAGGAATAGGTTATTAAATAAGTGGAGTATTCAGAAGGATGAAACATGGGGCGATGAGCTGTGGAAACGGGATATGGAAGCATGACATGTGATGGACAGGAAGCTGAAGGTCTTGACGTTAACGGATAGTACGATGTATTCTAATGCAAGATCTTATACCTACAACTCCCAAAGTGTTTGTTCTGCCTAGACCAAAGACAAATGAAACACTAAATTAGTCACCCAAAAACTAATTATTTTTCAGGTTGAAATCATAGTTCCATATTGATTGCTTAACCAGCTAGGAGTCGCACACAAGCGATCGAACGTAACACGTTGACGTGTTAAATGGTGTGAAAGCTTGACCACTAGCACTTAGCTAAATAAGTCAACTAAATTAGTGAAGATCAGCATCTGATGTTGAGTGATGAATGCTGTAAGCTAATAATTTTGGGGAACTGCCTGCTGCTACGATAACCTTAAAATGATGGTCCATTTGAACACAGTCTTTGTTTCACTTCACGATCATGAAGACTACGCTTACACCTGCCAGCGGAAGATGCATTGTCCATAGCTAATTTCTGAAGAGTTCCTGAGGACTGCGAACTCGAAGCAGAAATAAAAGTGAGAGCACTCCGTTGCACTATCCTCTGCAGTTTGCCACAAGGAATCCCGCAATGTCTAAATTGTGGAGTACCTTTGCTTCCGTAGTCCCAGTCACTAGAAATATTGTAGGAAGGAATTATTTCACCCCAAAACTACGCTAGCTTATTGTAAGAACGCTCAATTTCTTTGGTTTTTCGTAATAAGGTTTATTTCTGAGACACCACCTCTTTTGTCGCCCGAATCGGGAGTCTTTTCAAAACAATGACATCCCTCTTAAGTAAAGGGAGAGGCAAAGTGATATTGGGCGCTTCAAGGAGTGGTCGTATGAAAACCCCTGGAGTCAGCGCACCTATCTACTTGTAAAGTGCAAAACCGCATATACGTTCACCACATCACCAGTGTAATTTATGCATGCATCCAGCTTTTCAGTTAGGACGAAACCATAGTCAGGCAGTGTTACGCAAACTAGAAAACTTAGCATGACAATCAGTAAGAGTGAAGACATTTTTGAGGCAGAATCAATAGAGTTTCCCGGATGTCACTGATATCGCTGGGATAGTACCAATGTCCAAAGAGGTGGATACCATCAGGCAGCAGCTACCACCTACTCCCCTAGAAAAATTCCGAAGTACCCAGGGCCTGACTGACTTCTGTCGATGTTTTGTTAATAGTTGCGTACAATGTACAATAACTATCGCCTTATAATTTATAAGGAGTTCGAAAATTCATAAAATTTGAAGGTCACCGGTGAGTATAGCACAATTGTGATGTTAGCAGTTATATGAAAAGAGAGGGCTTATTAATATTTACTGTTTTTCTGATATATACAGTTAGTTGTTTTTCTGATGTACCGAACTCATACCAAGTATTTGCATTCAGGGAGTTGAAATTTAAACTCTGGCCTTCAGCCGGTTTTCAAAGTCTATTTTATTTTGTCTGTGGAAGTCATTCAAACTTAGGAGCCTTAACAAAAGAGCGCTTTCTCACAAATGGGCGTGGTTCCCATATCTCCCCACCATCATATTCGCTTAATAGCAATAACCACTCCTCACCCTTCAATGTGCAAGGCCCTGACGAAATGCATGTTTTTTATTTCTATTGTCATATGTAATGCAAACGTTTTACATTCATTTGTCAACTCATTAGGAGTCATCGTATGCACGACTACTATCAAAAGACCACCTTGTATATCTTGTCTGCTACAGTGTTTCGAAAAAAATAGTAAAAATATAAAGAAATTAGGCGGTAATAGTCTACTTTTGAGATACAAATGAATGAAAATGAAAATACGAGAAACACTGCATAGTATTTCAGAGGAAAATCTGTTGTAAGCTGCAGGCGAGGAATATGAATGTTGTGTAGTGAGATGGAAAGCTCGGATGAAATTTTTTCCTCCTCATTTTCCAAAATCATGCTTCATTTCCTAACCGTTACCCCATAAGTGAACGCCATCAATATCACCCCGAACCCTATCATATAGGCAGGACACGTTATTCCTGAGAAAATGGCACGCCATTTGTATGTCATCGTCAAATTGCAAAAAGTTTGCAAGCTTAATAACGTTGCAGATATCACTGAAATATAACAGGAGTGATAATGCATCTGGAACACCGCCTCGTACAACTCCGCTTTTTATCCAGACTGGGTTGGGTATGTGGGGACCTATTTTGACCATTCGCATGCGATTACAAGAAACGAAGTAAAACAGTTTACCAGTAAATCTTATATCCCACAAGACTGCCGTTAAGGAACTTAACACTAAGTTCCTATTATTTGCGAAGACGCTCCGAATCGACAATTATACTAGGTACGATTATCGACTTTAACTCCAAAACACAAGGACCAATAAGAAATTGTATTCTTCGGCAGTTAAAATCAATAGTCTGTACGAAGTCTATAAACAATGTTTTACAAGGAATGTATTGTACTTTTACTCGTATTCTTTCGTCTTCTTCCAACTTGTACACGACTGAACCATTCGCACCTTCGAGTTGCCCACCAGTGGCGACCAAGGCCAATGAACCAACGTTCAATGTTCATATTCATTTAGAACTGGACTTTTGATATTAAGTGTCGGTGGCTCAAAGTGTCAATTTCTTTACTAAGATCTAAGTATACAACTACTGTGATCATTTCGGAATCTTTAAATAGTGAGATGTGACTGAATAATTCTAAGTGGTATTTCATGCAGAGGCGTGAATTCACGAAACCGTGTTGAGAAGGAATGATAAGTTTCTCATGAGAGAGGAAGTCAAAAATGGCGCATTTCACGAACATTTCGAGGTTAGTGGGTCTATAACTTATGGCACGTGAACGAGAGCCTTAAAAATACCTACGGGTAATGTGCGTGGTTTTCCATGCATTTTGATGTATCCCAGTTGAGTTACTTGGCGTTTATCCTAACTAACCGGCTATCTGATCTTCACTATTGAGTCAGCGAAGGAAGCCGTTGACAAAAGTTTGAAGCCTGGTGGAAATACCTTTCGTGAGGCGCATGCGAAATCACTGAACTATACACAGAAGCACTTATTCGAAATTAGTATTGGCAATCCAAATTTTATTCCTTATGCTGAGGACAGTTGGTCAACACACCTGATTTCAGGCTAGTGAAGACTTATACTGCTTAGCTTTTACAACGTCATCCATGATGCATGTAGTTGAAACGATGCTGTCCAGCTAAGTAAAAGAAGTACATTCCTTCGGATTTATCCGGTTGGTAGTGATTCTGAGCAGTGAATAATTGTGCTTCGGGTGTCATCCAGTTATGAACACTGTGTCACTGTATCTTACAGCAAATTATTTTTTACCACATATACTAATGAAAGATAGTCTATCGAGACAATGTTATAATGGGTAAGTAGACAGATGATGACCAAATAATGAGCTGAAATATGTCATTGTATGCATTTATATATTTATAACTTCACTAGGAAGGCGAAAAAGGTTCTGAATTTATCGATAAATCTTTCTATGTATCGCTACGAAACGCGGTAACAATAACACCAACAGACGCAATCAATAAAGCACAATTGGTTAGTGAACAATTTTTTAAAGTTTACCAAATAGTTTCCTTATAATTCATAATGTCAAGTATAAGCATTTAACGTTACTGTTTATAATGGATCTTGACTTAATATTGAAACGCTGTCGCCATTTCTGTTTAATTTCATCATAAATGTACTAATGGACTTAGCCTTAAGTGACTTCAGTGACTCAGGGATTTACTTGTTACTACCAGAGAATAATCTCGTTGACATACAATTTGCAGATGATACAGTCCTCCCTCCTAGGTGAAGACTCTGACAAAATCCAGGAGAGTCTTCTGAACATCTTGAGCAGCCATCTGAGAATGTTTGGCATGTTACTCGCACCCAGTAAAAAATGAGATTATGTTACAGGACTGGACTACATTGACTCCTAGATTAGAGATGGGGAGTGAAGTGGTAGAGTGTGTTGACCTCCTCACTTATTTGAGAAGATGCATCAACCGACGCCAATGGGTTGGCCGCTTATGAAATCTCTGCACGGATAGAGAAGGCTGGTTTCGCATATGCTAGTTTACACTGTCTCTGGTGTAGATAAGATATCCGGCTATCAACCAAACGGCTCAGAAGCACTTCGCTCTGTCCTCGTTTATGGCTGTGAGAGATGGTCGTTGAAAGAAGAAGATATCATAGGTGATCATAGGTGCCTGCGTTCTATTTCCCGCGTGAAGTGATATATTAGGGTGTGCAATATTGAAGTTGGGCTTCGGTTGGGCTTCGGATCAGATTGGGAAAGAGTCGGCTAGTGGTGGCCAATCCCAAATATGGCTTCATCAGTCAATGAAATCCATTACAGTTAGTTTAAGTCATTGAGCCACGTAGCGTGGCGTACGCCGGCTTCTCGGTTTGAATCCTCGGGATGGTAAAAACCAATGAAGACTGGAGACAATTGGTGATATGGCCCAAAATTATTCTCAATGAATAGCGCAAATGCATTCACTCTTTATGATTTATAAAATCCACTAAGACTCTATTGTTCTTAATAATATATATTTAGTATAAACGTATAAGTTTACATGAAATGCGTCCCATTTTCACAGGCTTGATCAATTATGTTACGAATTACAATTGTTAATTAGCATAGATGATCACTTTTGCAAAAGTTCAAATTTTGAATTATAGTACAAGCAATCGGAACAG